TTTAAGGTTGCAAACGCCAAAAAGGAKATTTGCTGATGGGTGTGGAGTTGCACAGCATCCCTGTATCTGAGTCCTGATATTAAACCAAAATCACAAAATAAAATGAGTTTCATTCTAGATAACTTTCATCTCAGTTTAAACAGATTCATTTTGGAAAAGAAACTGTTMAGCTATCGTTACAGTAACAGATAACATGGACTTAATGGACATTTACAACAAGGACCGAACATCATAGAAACATTTCCAAGAGAAAACTATGAGCATTCAGGGGCCTTATTGCTATAGCAACAGATGTCACAGTGACATATTAAGATGCTTCTGCCCTCAACAGGAGTGAGAACCCAAGAAAATGACCGATTTACAGACAAAGGCAAGGAAAAGAAAAAAAAGTGAAGCCTTTTTTTTGTATGTCATTATCAAATTTGATATGAATTAATCTTGATAAAGGTTTTGTGTGATGAAGAAAASACTTTATATGTATTTTTCATTAAAACAGCTTTAATCAGTCAGATGATATTTTCTTTTCCCTGTTATTTTCATCAAACAAACAGTTATATTCATGCTCACGTCTCCAATGCCGCAGAGCCAGGAGAGGTTCATCTGAGCCTTCCTGGCAGCTCCAACACCTTCTCACATTCTCCAGTTCCTCCATCCCTCCGATTTTTCCAGCCAGCTTACTGCCCGCCAGAAAAACAGATCTCTGACCATGTGCTGGTTTTGACCAGAACTTGGCACACGTGAAGCACATATCCGTCTGGCAGAACTCACAGCGTGTGTTTTGGTGATCGAGCATTCGCAGAAACATTAGAACCGTTCTTCAGACCAGCGAGCCCAAGTGGAAGGAGAGACGAGGACTCAGTCCTGAGTTCCTGTCAGTCAAACCCAGACTGAAGAGAGCAACCAGCAGAACAAAAGGTCAGCGGAAACAAGAGAAACTGTGTTTTCTGTGAAAAAGCAGAGTGAACACTGACAGCTGAATGACAGCTGAAGTATGTTAAAGCTGAAAATGAGTTGTCAAAGCTAAAGAGAGCAAAACATAAAGACAAAACTAAAAAAATAAAGAAAAAACAAAGAAAAGGAAAAAAGAAAAAAGAAATAGACAAAACTAACAAAATTCTAGTTAAAAGAATCCAGCAAGACTTGCTAAAAGCCATAAGCACCAAAATGCTAGCTAAATGTTAAAAATACTAAAGCTGCAGTTAAAAGCTAAAAGAGAAGAAAGGTTCGCTACCGTATTTATTCATGTATAATTCGATCTCATGTATATTACGACCCCCCTTTTTTTTTAGCTTAAAAAGCATTAAAAATTTAATCAAACTACCTCCAATTTCATATGGACTTCAAGATTTTTCAGCCTTTGCAGTCTTTTTACATATCAGTAAAATGATCATTGGACTGTTCATTTTATTTTAACAACATATGTACTAAAAGGTATTTTGACAACAAACATATATCAGCTGTAGCAGCATCATATGAATTCTGCCATTTTACACATAGTCCACCAGGATGTACCAACACAAAAGTCAGAGACTTCACATGAGATTTGGGCCATCTTGTGGGGGAAAAGCAGATTACTTCCGACTCGTGAGCGCCCCCTCTGGTGGGGAAACGTTTTTTCAGGGATACAAACTTTTTCAGAACACCGATAGACGGCAGCCATTTTGTTGTTGTTCGAGGAGCGGCTCGGTCACATGTTAATGTCATTAGTTCGTTATCATTACTAAGGTGCAGGAATACGTTTTCCCCCCTTTTTTTCACATCATGTCACCTGCCTGGATCTGTTATTATCTCACTCTGAAGCACAGAGGAGTGTCAGAGGTAAGCTCGCTTCAGCTGCTTTTTACGACGCGGTCTCATTTCCGGATTCAGGCATTTTGTGAATGAAGCCGATATTTCAGTTAAAATATACAAGTAAAAATATTCATTCGAGTATAGTACTACCCCCCAACTTTATGGATGATTTTATGGATTAAATTTTACGTATTATACTTGAATAAATACAGTAAAAGTTAAAAGTACCAAAAAGTAGGCAAAAGTAGCAAAAAATAGCTTAAAGCTAAAAAAGCTAAACCTAAGCCAAAAGTTAAACTTGCAAAAGTTTATCTAAAAAAATACCCAGCAAAAGAATTGCTAATGTCTATTAGGAGCAAAATGATATTTAAATGTTAAAAATAGCAAAAGGTGAGCTAMAGTTATTCAAAGGCTAAAAGTAGCAGGTACCAAAATGAAGCAAAATGATGACTAAAGCCTAAAAGCATCAAAAGACTAGCCAAAAGTCAAAAGGAGATGAAATGTAGCTAAAAATCTACAAGGAGCAGAATAGCAGATGTAGGGGTCACCTCGAGTTAAATTATCAAGGAAACTGTCTTGGACTCTCGGTCCTCTGATGGGCCTTCGAAGGGAAAAAAACTCTGTTCCACTTAGAACTGAATCTAGGCCACCTCAGGTCGCCTTAACCTTTCAAAGAGACATTCTCTTCCTTCTAAATCAGATAATAAACAGAAGAATCTTCTCTTATTTGATTTATTGTTCTCTTAACTGAATGTATTACGCATTTTGATAATCAGAGAATGTTTAGCAAAGTTACAGGAGAAAAGAAGACATTTCTCTTTTCTCCCTCAGTATGATTTCAGCTATGTATGGTTTTTCTGTGGAAAAATTCTTATTTAACTAAAATAATCTTTATGGTTTAAGTTGATGAAATGTCAGTGTTTTACTTGTTTGAATCATATTTACAAACGTTTTGAACTTGAAACAATTCATTGTTGTTTCAGTTATGTTTACTCCTCATCAGATGATAATTAAATGGGTCATGAAATGTTTTGTTCTGAACCACACAGAAGCAATAATCTTTGTTTAGTTTCAGGAGGCGACAGCAAGTTCTGAATCTAAGGCTTTCCTTTATATAACTTCACTAATCTTACCTCCAGAGGGCGGAACTTAGATTCTCTAAGCTTCTTAGTAACTAACAGTTTCCCCCCGGACGGTAGTAAGTGATGGACCGCCGTCAGTCACTTTTGACAGCTAGACTCTCTGGGAGTCAAAAGCTAAGCTGTGACAGGTTTACCTCTTCATCGCCAAAGAGGAAACCTCACAGCCTTGGTCAGACCAACGCCTGGTCGATCCACTTCAGAACATCTTCCAGACGGAAGTTTTATTTTGAGCCTGGGTTCCAGTAGAGGCTTTGCCTTTTTTCTACGGCTTGACGTGGACAAAGCGAGTACAGCTACACGCCTGGGTCACTCTGGTGGACTGTTCTAAGTGGATTCTCTCAACAGAAGTCCGAATTACCTGGACAGGTGACCGACCATCATCTAAACTTGACCGAAGCCGAGCACAGAACGCTTCGCCCTTCTGGTTAAAACCCCCATTATTTAAGATAAAAGTATAAGAAAGCTTAACACCTTACTTTCCTCCTTTCTCTTAAAGTCTTCCTTGCCAACCCTAAAATAATCGCCTCAAATGTCCGGTATTTAACATTGAAGCTTCTATTTAAAGTGTCTGGTTAACAATTAAGAAGTTAAAAGCTTGTTATTGTCGGTTCTAAAACTTTTATAGGAAACTGATTGCCACAATTAAGTGTATTCTAGTGATTCTGTATGATTTGTAAAATAAATGATCGCAATATTTATGGATCAAATCAACATTCACTGACTGAGAGCCACTTATTCATTTTTGCACTAGAGGAATGTTTACCCAAAAAAAGTGGTCCTTGCTAATTAAATTACTCTTATAACTTTGTTATAAGAAGTGTAAGACTGAACTCTTACACAGCTAACAGCTACAAGTAGCATAAGATGTCAAAAATAAAGTCAGTGTGTTGAAGGAGGGTTAACATCACAGCATTACCGCAGTCTGATTTTTCATTAAAACCTGTTCCAATCAGCAAACATCATTAGTTTTACGGCATCATTACAGACAGACAGGTGTTCTCATCTGCTCCAAAACAGCCTCCCCTCCATGACTGAATCCCCTCTTTACTTAAAAAACAAACTACATTACATAACAGACACTTTATGATGTTAAAAAAACAGAACATGCTGAAGCCTAAAGCTTTTTAATGCTCACAACAAATCTTCAAAACCATTTCAACACATTGCCATAGTTTTTTCACACACCTCAGTCTGTTTGTGATTAGCATAAAGAGAGATCTGTGTCTCTGTTCTACAACACTGACTGCATTACATCGAGAAAATAAAAACGTTAAAGTCTCTGAAGATCACTGGTCATTGTTCGAATGCATCTTCATCAAAAGATAATAATAATCATAGACTCTGTTTTCCTCCAATGAAGCAAATAAAATGCATCAAAGTGTTTTGTTGTTCTTAAGACTTTACTTTCAAACAGAAATAAAAACAGAAAAATAAACGTGCAACTTATATTTTAATGCTGGCTTGCATCATGCTCATCTTTTTGTTAAGCTCACATTTAAAAAAAATATCATGTTAGTCCCATGTTATTTCTTACTGGTGGTCATAGAAATAAACAAACAAAACATGTCTAATAACAAATTATTTTTTTCCGTACAGTCTGTTGGAAGGGAAATGACACTAAAGGTCAATGAATAAATACATAAATAAAAACTTTTTTTTCATTCATACATCACACATTTCTAAACTTGTGCATTCATCACCAGACAGTCAAACATTTTAAAATGTGTTAACATTAAACATTAACATTTGCTGTTCTGCAGCTGTAATTCCTAGAAGTTGTGCTACAGCAGAAAACAGTTAACCCTTCATCTGTGTTGATTTTTATTAAAAGTATCTATTAAGAGACTTGTTTACAGGAAATAAATTAAATTAAGCCAATTAATATATTGGCATTTGAATTTCCTACAAAAATGCAGAAAGTTTTGTGCTGAATAGCTGAAAAAAAGCTGAAACTAGTCTAAWGATAGCTAAAATAGCTGAAATTAGAACAAAAAACACAAAGAGCACGTTTGATGGATTAAACAGTAAGAAGCTGAAATAAACACAAAAGGTGAATTTAGTAAAACAAAGCTTAAATTAGCTAAAAAAGTAGCTAAAATACAGAAAACAGCTGAAATTTGCAAAAAAAAGCCAAGCACAAAAAAGATGAAATTACTAGAAACTGTCAGAATGATTGCAGAAAAAAGGCTAAAAGAAGCAAAAAAGAAGCTGAAAATAGCATCAAAAGTTATAAAAAAGAACAAAAGGTATGAAATACAGCAGAGATTTATGAACACTGTTTCAAAAAGCATAAGTTGCTGGAGTACCAAAAGTCATAGCTGGAATGTCCTGAAGTAGCTATAATAGTTGTGAATTGTTAAAAAAAAAGCACAAAAATTGCGAAACGAGTTACACGCCAAAAAACTTATGAAATAAAAATGCATCTCTGCATTTGTTCTTAGTTCAACGTTCATTTGGTGGATGATATTTTTTTTCAACATTTTGGTCCTTCCTCGTTAAAGAGTCTTTTGAGAGATTTTAATCCATGTTTGGACATTTTCTACCAGTGATCAGAGTTTTAACATTTATTCACTTTCTTTACACAGAGTGAGATGTTTCGTCAGGGCAGAGTGAGCGCTTGGTAAAAGAGAATAAAAAAGTGAAAACGTGACTGTCAGACAGCTGCGTGAGAGATGGAAACCCTGTTTTATAACGTAACTGGGTAAAGTGGTTCATTATCACCAAGTCGTTGCTTTTAAGAATCCTCTTCAGGCAGACTTGACACAGACAAAGACTTAAGTTTTTCACAATTACAGGGACTCCAACAGTTTGCTGTTTGTGTGCAGTACCTGCCTGCAGCCTTCTTTCAGACACTCGGTGGCACGTTCACAGACACTCGGTGTTCCTTAAAGTTCATCTCGTTGGTGCGTGTCCTGCAGCCACTTTGCATAAACGGTCAAAGGATCTATATTCCAGTGTTTGTGGAACGAAATGGCCTGCAGCAAGGAAAGCTGCATCTCCGAGTAGTCATCAGGTTGGGCCTAAAACCACAAAAGGAAGTGGTTTCCRTGCATCAAAATGAGTGAATAACTGCTGTCTTTGGGTGATGTAGGAGCAAAGCTTATAAAACAGTAATTKAGGTCTTTAGGGTTTAAACTGGTCACATTTAGGAGAAAACAGCCACAAAAACATAGTCATGCAGAGCATCATCTGATGTGAACACAACACAATCTCGATGCTTGTTTCTGTAATAAAGACTAACTGTTCCTCCAAGTTTGGAAGCTAATTATAACATAGAGGGGTTAGACAATAAAACACCTGGTTTTAGACCATAACATCCCTTTCAGACAGCTTCCTCGTGCATCCACATTTAATCCTGTTGGATGTGGTTCCTCCTTATTGGTGGWATGCTGACATTACCCTGGATACTGTGGCTCTTGATACATCACAAAGACTTGCTGTCTTGGTCACAGATGCTCCAGCAAGACGTGCACCAATAATTTGTCCTATTTTGAACTCTGGTTTGTCGCCCATAATGCTGTGTGAATTGCAATATTTTGAGTAAAACTATGCTCTTATCCTGCTAATTGAACCTTCACACTCTGCTCTTACTGGTGCAAAGTGCAATTAATCAGGAATGGCCACCAAGCTGGTCCAATTTAGCCATGAAACCTCCCACACTAAAATGACAGGTGTTTCAGTTTCATTGTCTAACCCCTGTATATCATGAACAATTTGTTCAGACATGAACCCTGTCATTTTAAAACACAGATCTTCGAGAAATGACAGAAGTGCTGCATGACTTTAAAAAATCTTACTGAAGAAGCTAAAACTGAGTAAAGCTAAAATAACACCAACTTGAAGGCACAGTGTGTAGGATTTGTTGTTTTCAGCGACATCTAGTGGTTGAGTGGTTGAATAATCCTCCCTGGTCCTCCCCCCACCCCCCCCCCCCGCTTCCAAACACAAAGGAGTTGCTACGGTGTCTCTCAGGTGTCAAAAACCTTTGATAACTCCAACACGATGTCTACCAGCAGCTTCAGGGCTAGTGATGTTTCAAGTGGTAAGATTATGAGCTTTAATAAGTAAAATTATCCCAGCTACAATGACAGACAACAAATATTACATTTATAGTGTTACAACTAAAACCATTTTTGACGCTGCCACCGCAGTTTGTCCTTCATGAGCCTTCGTAGACAAGATGGCGGCTGCCTGTAATGGTGACCCGCGACCATGGAGATATAAACAGCTTTTTATAAGGTAAAAATAATAAAACAAGGTCTTTGTCTGCAATGATTAGACATGTTTTTTTATTATTGTCATTAGTGTCCCAAATAAGCTGAACACTTTGACATCTGGATGGTTCAAATAGCAAAAAGTTTGCAGAAATATGCACGTGTCAAAAAACAAATCAAGAAAAGAAAGAATAAAGAGAAACAGGATGCCTAATATAAATACTGAATTAGCATTCACACAATTATCATCACCTGTTAACTAACTCAAGTTGGAGCGACAAAGACAATTTCTTAAGGACTTTTTTTAGGCTTGTCAGTTTAATCAGATTTATTCCAGTTTCCACAAACTGAAGAAATTCCGAGAGCCATCAAGGACAGGTAAGACGTTTACTGTTCACAGCAGAACCAGCCTTCATCAGAAACAGCTGCAGGTATGGTGTGTTTTGTTCTGTACCTGGTGAAATAGAGGACTGTGTGTGACGGGAACTCCGAGGGAGGTGAAGCACCTTCCCAGCACCATGTCATCGGGAGCGTCGTCGCTGTAGCAGCTGCAACCGCTGGACAGCAGCCGGGACACGGCCGTCCTGCTGAACACCATCCTGCAGGCGACAGGTTCAGATTAGGAGAAAATCAAATCAATTTCCCCTCAATAACAGACTGAAATCTCAGCAGGGTTTTCATCCAGCTATCTTCTATTTGTTTTTTGTTTTTTCCTAGTGATGATTTCCTGTTTTTGTACCTGGCTCCTTTATTTGTCTTGTTTACTGAATCTGTCTTCTTCGTCACTCTCCTGTCTGTCTGACCTTTCCTCTGTGAGTCTCAGACCCTCTTTACATAATTACCATTGGCTGAATTTGCCTTCGTTTTTCTCTAAACTCACAAATCTGACTGTTCCTGTCTGCCAGTCGTTGTTTACACTCAGCCTTTTGAAGCATAATTTACTTGTGTTAAGTCTTCCTGTCTGAGTCATTACCCTCCTGCTGCCCTTGGGTCAAAATGACCCACAAAGCCTCAGTTTTCACGCCTTTGTTGGGGCAGCAGGAGGGTTAAACACCACATAAACATAATTGGGTATGCATTWTTAAGACCCTTATTGAGTTAAACTCTCTTTGCTGCCGGGGTTTATAATAAACATTATTTATTTAAACAGTCTAGGTCATATTCTCTGTGGTTTAGGAGAGGTTGGAAGTTCGTAATTTGAAATATTGCATTAATTTTTAGCTTTTGACGACACAAATCATGGTTTGGAACAGCTGGCCGTGCATCAGTCTTTCAGCGGTGATGTCAGGCAGTCGTGATGGTAATCTGCAGATGTGCATTTGCAGAAATCTGTGTATAATGTCATTGGGTTATTGGTAAAAGCTTAAATAACAGCTTAAACCCACCAACTATGCGTGAAGATGGAAATAAATGAAGTGTAAAGTGATTGGTGTCAAAATTTCTTCAGGAAACCATCTTTTTTTAAGAAACTTGATATTATTACAGTAGTAATTTACAGAATTATAGCTTTTTAAAAAGAAGCTTGTGGGTTTTTCATAAAGGTTGCTCTGTTTTTAGTTAAAAGGCTCACGAGAGGTTCATAAACTACCACAGATGTTTTAATAATCTGTAACAGATTTGAACCCTCCTGCATGCCCTTTCAAACTGAGCGCTCTCCGTCTGAACACAGGTGAACCTGAACACCCCCACCGCCCCGCTGCTTCACCCTCCTCCTCCCGTGATGTAGCTGTATCCGCCCTGARCCAGGCCGTAGCCGTATCTCTCCCCGAGGCTCACGGCTTCCTCTGGGTCGTAGCAGCGCAGCAGCTGCTGCAGGCGAGGCAAACTAAAAATAGACGGAGAGCAGAGGATCAGCGCTCATTCATGCCTTTTTTTTTAGCACAACTAAAAAAGACACACACACACACAAAATTTTTAAAGATGACTCAGCTCTGATTTGAACTGATCTTTAACACCCCGATTAACATCTTTCATCCTGTATTTTGCATCATCATAAATACACCTACAGTCTCTAAATAAATAAACTGTTCAGGTTTCAATTTTTATTCTATTACAAATATCACAGAAAATTAGGAAGTTAGTGTTTGGTTGATTATTTGTCTGTTGTAACAATGCTTTTTTTTTTTTTTTGCCAAAAGCATCTGGAGGTACCAGCTCAAATCAAGTGTCAATAGCAACAATATAAGCTGCTTGGCAGAGAAGATGTGACAAATTTTTCATGTACACAACCCACATACTCAACTCTACTGCTCATTCCACAAATGCAGAGATTCTTAACATATGGGCCGCGCCCGAGCGCCACCTTGAGGGCCTCAAAAGAACAACAGTTTTTAACTTTAGGCCGCAGAGGGCCGCGGGACCGTATTGATTTTCAATAAGGTGCAATACTCTTTCTCACCACTAGTAGCAGTAGTGCGCCACTCAGTTCAACAACTTTTTAATATGTAGAAGAAGAACCTTAGAAACCTTCCTAGAATGGAAACTTATTTTAAATGAAAAGTAGAAGCAAAAATGAAGGCAACCCATCAAAAAACACCAGTTTGTCACTAATATTAAGAGCAGCCTCTGTTTTTACCATGCATTATTTTAAAAGTTCAAAACATTATCAAATAC